GAGCACTGGAGCATCTTCCTACGAGGACAGGCTGAGGGAGTTGGGGCTGTTCAGCCTGGAGAAGAGAAGGTTGTGTGGAGACCTCAGAGCAACCTGCCAGGAGCTGAAGAGAATCCAGGGAAGCTGCAGAGGGACTCTGGGTTAGGAACTGCAGGGACAGGACAAAGAGTAATGGGGAGAAATTGAAAGAGGGAAATTTAGGCTAGGTATCAGGAAGATACCTGTGAGGGTGGTGAGACACTGGCCCAGGTTGCCCAGGGAGGCTGTGGCTGCCCCAACCCTGGCAGTGTTCACAGCCAGGTTGGATGAGCCTTGAGCAACCTGCTCTGGTGGGAGGTGTCCCTGCCCAGGGCAGGGGTTGGCGCTGGATGATCTCTGAGCTCCATTCCAGCCCCTAAATTCTATGATTCTCTGAAAACCCATCAGGCTGCAGGTCCTTGCATTTTGGGCAGCTGTGTTCCAGACTTGGAGGCTCTGTGCCACCCAGCCAAGTTGGAAGCTGAACCCAAGCGAGTGGTACATGCTCATAACTGCTATTTTTAATGCTATTGTCACTACCTTTCTCAATCACCTAGACAACAGCAAAAACCTCTTTCCTTTCCAGTTTCACAGCACTAGTACACTAGTTTGAACTACTGGAGTCAGTGGCAAAGCACAGGTTGGGAATCAAATCATCCCCTGTTCAACTAGCATTTCATGTAAAGGGCCTTTTAACTCCACAAAGCTCACATGCCTTTGCATCTACCACTTTAAAATGCTAGCTAAAAATATTTGCCTTATCTGAAGTCAGATGAAGAAATCCTCCCCACTGCTGGGTACACAGTGTGGCAATGCACGACACAACTGCAAATGTATTTGTTAGAAACAGTACATCTGTTATGATTTACCCTTGCCAAAATGTAATTCTTTATGGCAACAATTGTTTCATGGTACTTAAAGTTTTTCACCTCCCTGCCAGGAATCTCATATGGGATAATTCCATGACCTTGGAATCCAGCAGATACATTCCACATCTGTCTGGTCTGGGAAAGCCTCAGTTTGTTGTGTGAAAACCAGAGTGGGAAAGTAAGACCTGGAAATGTCTGAAAATACAGAAACTGCTGCTTTTTTTCTTCTTTCTTTTTTTTTTTTTTTTAATTACCAGTTATTTTAATTTTAATTTAATTTTAATTTCAAGTGCAGTAAATCAGTCTCAGAGAAGTGGTTCCTTTGCTTTTTTTTTTAAGCAGACATTCACTTCTGATCCTATCTTCAAATTAAGGGACATGGTATAAACATTACAATAATTCTATCTCTGAAAAAAAAATCACAGCCTGTAAATATTGAAACAAAGTCTTGTTGAAGGCTGCTGGAGATTTAAATGGAAAAGCATCCAACCTACTGCAAGTAAACATTTTACTGGTGCCTGTGAAGGTTTAGGATGGCAGAAAAACTGGAGCTCTGCTGGAATCTCAGGGTAATACTTCTCTCATTAAGCTTTTTAACAAAAAATGAGCCATAGACAGCTTTGTGAGCAGCGAACTTTCAAGCCCTGGTTTCCTGTCATTCTTCCCTGTGCAGGTTTTCTGTTATTCCAATAATTTGGCTGAGCTCCTGCTACAGCCTTGATCTCCAAGGGGCACTGTGGCATTTCCAGGCATACAGCTGCACCCCAAATAACCTGCACCTCAAATAACCTGTGCAACACTGCAGATGGGAAGGTGGACAGAAAGCCATGAAAAAAGGGTTATGCTAAGAAAAACACATAGAAAAGGTGAATGTGTTTGCTTGAGAGAAGGGGGAGAATAAATATTCTTGTCCATGCTAACCAGGATGCTATTCCTGGTTCAAAGCAGGAATTGCTGCTCTGATCATCACCAGGGCTACAAGTCTCCCTTTCAAAAGGGTTTAATGGTTTCTCTTCAGTCTGCACATCCTGAAGGTGCCAATCACTCATAGGCTGTGTCCTTGGGCAGGACCAATGTACATGGAATGGTATCCAAAGGGATGCCAGAGAGGAAGGCAGCATGGCAGGAGAACCAGAATGAATGACTAATTGATGAAGTTCATACAAAACTGTGCTAACAATTTAAAAATCCTCCTCTTAGAGGAGCTTTTATGACAGGAGTCACAAGAGCTCACTCAGAACCAGTACCTGAGATGCTGCTGCTTTATAAATAGGAAACTGATTTGTCTAAGGCATGTCCTGAATGAACTGTGGTTTATAACAAATCTTAGAATCATAGAATGGTTTGGGTTGGAAGGGACCTTAAAGATCATTGAGATCCAACCCTCCTGCTGTGGGCAGGGTCACCTTCCACCAGCCCAGGTTGCTCCAAGCCCCATCCAACCTGGCCTGGAACACTCCCAGGGATGAGGCTGCCCCGGCTTCCCTGGGCAACCTGTGCCAGTGCCTCAGCGCCCTCACAGGGGAGAATTTCTCCCAAATTTCTAATCTAAACCTCCTCTCTTTCAGTTTGAAGCCACTGCCCCTTGTCCTGTCACTCCAGGCCCTTGTAAAGTCTCTCCTCATCTTGCTTGTAGACTTCCTTCAGGTACTGGAAGGCTGCAATTAGGTCACCCCAAAGCCTTCTCTTCTCTGAGCTGAATAATCCCAGTTCTCTCAACTTTTCCTCACAGGAGAGATGCTCCATCTCTCTGATCATCTTCACAGCCTCCACTGGAGAGAGAAGCCCAGAGCTGGATGCAGTACTGCAGGTGAGGACTCACCAGAGCAGAGCAGAGAGGCAGAATCACCTCTCTCAACCTGCTGCCCACACTGCCTTTGATGCAGCCCAGGATGCAGTTAGCTTTCTTAGCTCCATCAAAATGTGAAATGAGTAAATAAAAAGGTAAATGAGTTCCTTGCCCAAAAACTGTGTGGCAAAGCTTTGTACTACTGGACATGCTGTGCCCCAAAGCAGGCTGCATTCTGGTGATACATGAAATAGTTTCTGCATATCCAGCAGCCAAACAAATTGGCTGCATTTCTTAGTGTTTTGGATTATAAGGCCACAAACATAAAAAAAAAACCATAAGAAAAAAACTAATGGCTTTTCAACATATTGTGACAACAACCCAGCCAAAACTCCTCTCAACCAGTTTGTAGAATAATGTGTTCCTGGCAGCTCACAGCAATTTTCCTGCAGAAAAGTTTAACATCAAAGATGTAAAGTCAGGTTTAAAGTACAAAGCTTAAACTGTGTGTGAGCAGGCAGAAATACTACTGCAGCACAAGAAAATATTTGATACTGGATGTTCATTCTTTAAAGCAGAAAAATATAGGCAATTTCCAAAGTGAGAAACTATGTCGGATTTATAGTGGAAGGGTGAGGTGAGCAGATGCTTTATACAGTGTTAATGCTTTTCTACCTATTCAAGTCTTAACAGCTGTTTGAGCAAGAGGGGGAAAATAAAGGCCCTTGGTAACTCTTAAGCAAGCTGCCAATTTTCCACATGGGATTTGATGGCTAAGAAAATTAGGTTTTCCTGCTCTCATGCTGCTGCAAGGAGTAACAGCACACTTAATCACACCAGGAGAAATAAAATTCCCATATTCCTGAAAAAAAACTTATATTTCCTAAATTTTCCTTATATACTAAATCTCTTCTTAACAACAAAAAAAAAAAGATTCCCCATCTAATATCTAACATCTCTTTTATTCTGACACTATTGTTGTGAAGGGACACTGCTTGTCATATATGTAAAGCTCCTGAGTTGTCTCACTGTGTGACAGACAGGTGCAGTTACTTGCACTGACAATTTTGTGAGCATTGGAAGAGAAACTATGTTCATAAATCAAATACATGTTTTCAACACTTAAGAGGAAAGAAGGATGGAATTTTATGTGTCAGATATTGATTATGAACCAAATTCTGGCTGCCTTGGATAGAGGCATCTGTCCAAAAATCCACAGATAAGGAGCAGGCAAAACAAAGCCTGTTTGCCTCTAAACCATCTGGAACAGGAGCTGTACAAACCCTTCATCACCTGTGCAGGGCAGGATCTCTTTCCTCCTAAATCACATCCCAGCACAGCAGCTTGATGGAGCCAGAGGTGTATTCTGTGAACATACAAGTGGATCCCAAGGCAACACAATGATACCTCCTCCTTACATCCTTCTGACCCACCTTCTCCCAGCTCCTGTGCCACCACCTGCCTCAGTGCAGGTCATGGAACACCTGGCCTGGCATGAGCACTGGAATTATCACCACACAGCCATATGTTGGGCATTCCTAGTCTATATATTTGTGTATGAACACTCACAGCTGGTCCTGAAAAGCTCCTACTTCAACCCATAGACAATCATATCCTAATGTTCTCTTCTTATTCAGTCTGAGTCTCTCTAATACCTTTTTATAACTTGTTATATCACAGTGCCTTGGTATTTGTATGAGATACCAAGGATCCAAATATTTATGTCAGAGAGGGAGGAAAAACCCCGTCAGCATCTGTTTGCAGAAGTGAGATGGTGGAACTGAAGTGTCAGATAATCTCCCAAAAAGATGTCAGCATTTTCAGCTGTCTGACAGATCTGTCTGCCTGTGTGAGAGTAAACAAGAAAATGGCTCAGCCATTTGGACTGAGTTTAAGGCAAAACAAAGAACAAATTATCTGTTTTCTGATCAGGTCTCCTGCTCCAGTTTACAGATGTCCATTTGTGATTTCTCCTGTAAGTCCCTTTGGGAACAATGATCAGTGCCCTGTGTGGCTGATCAGCACCACCGAAGTCTTGGCAATTTGGAACTAGAAAAATCTCCTGTAGAAAACAAACCTTCAAACAGTAAAGACACACCTCAAAATTCCTCTGCATTTTCCATTTACTGGAACTAGGATTGTCCCACTTAGTACAATTCCACAGAACTGGTCTCTGAATTCATTAGAATTTTGAGTAAGTCTTCTGGTTTCTGTGGAGTTAGATCCATGCTGAAATAAGAGATTGAACTGAACCCAAATGTCTTTAATACACAGCCTTGATCTTTACCAGGAAATGACAGTGCTTATCAGGATGCCAATCTTACCTCTGTAATAATGAAGAAGTCATCACCAGGCTCTCCCTGCACAACAATTTTTTCCCCATCTTCAAACTGGACAGGTTCCAGTGCATCAGCCACTGTCAGCCGCTCCCATTTGTCCAGGGACTCTAAAATATTGAAGATCATAAAGCTATATTATAAAAAGACTCTTAACTTTGGCTGAAGATTCATATCTAAACTGACAGCTCTGCCGTGCCTGGTTCTGTTATAAAAGAAACATTTCTTTCATCCAGGCACTTTGCATGAACCTCCAGTTGGGAAACATGAATGTATTTATTCATTGTGTCTTAGGCTTTAGTAATCACCCAGATAGTCATCTTAAAAGTTGGACAGGAAAAGTTGGCTCTGGTTGCCTGTGCCTGAGATCTGCTGCGGCGCTGCCCTGACGCTGCTGCGCACTGGAGCAGCTGAGGAGCTGTTTGGAGATACCAGCGATAGGAGAGCGCCGAGATTCTCTTACCACATCCCACACCAGATGTCAGAACAAGTCCTACTGTCTTTTTGTCAGAGCTGCTCCCAGCCTGTTCCTGATGGGCTGCCAGATAAGTGATGCAGAGTGTAGATCTCAGTGATGACTTTTGCCCGTGGGTGAGACCTTGGCACCTCTGGAGCCAATGGCCAGGCTCTGGTGGCATCAGTTTATGGGTGTTTGAAGTGGCACCTCTGTTTCCTTTGCCAACAGGATGGCTTGCAAAGTGTTTTCATTCCCCCACTTCATGGAATCATAGAATTTTAGGAGTTGGAGGAATTTTGGAGCTCAGAGATCATCCAGCCCCAACCCCTGCCCTGGGCAGGGACACCTCCCACCAGAGCAGGTTGCTCAAGGCTTTAGCCAACCTGGCTGTGAACACTGCCAGGGTTGGGGCAGCCACAGCCTCCCTGGGCAACCTGGGACAGTGTCTCACCACCCTCACAGGGAAAACTTCTTCCTGATATCTAATCTAAATTTCCCCTCTTCCAATTTGTACTCACTGCCCCTTGTCCTGTCACTCCAGTCCCTATCCAAGAGTCTCTCTGCAGCTTCCCTGGAGCCCCTTCAGCTCCTGGCAGGTTGCTCTGAGGTCTCCACACAACCTTCTCTTCTCCAGGCTGAACAGCCCCAACTCCCTCAGCCTGTCTTCATAGGGGAGATGCTCCAGTCCTCTTACCATCTTTGTGGCCTCCTCTGGACTTGCTCCAACAGTTCCATGTCCTTTTTACATTGAGGGCACCACTTAGAGAGAAAAGTTATAAAACTTAAAAGCAAACTTCTGTAAGAATAACTGACCAGTCTTTCTGAGGAGCAATGGAGCTAACACAGCCAGATCCCTGTGCTGTGAGGTCCTCCTCACCCACCTGCACCTGCCCCAAACCTGCTGTGGTACCTACATGGCCAAGGACAGCCTGCACAGGGCACACCCAGGGCTGCTCACTGTCCCTCCATCCTCCTCCTCCTGCCCTTGCTAAGGGATGAATTCTCCCTGTCCTGCCCTCTGAGAGGATGCCACCTGTGTCTCTCTCCAATACCTATTTGCATGACAATGCAAGACAATTAATTATACTTGAACTTTTGTACTTTTATCAGGTTTGACTGAAAAATTACAGGTTTAAAAGTTATTAAAAGAAAGAAGATAATACAATGATTTAACCTTCACTGCCTCAAAAAGCTGGGCTAAAATTCCTGTTCCAGAGCTCTGCTGATTCCTACTGGCTATGAATTATTGAACTAATGTAAGTCAAGATGTGGTTTCTGACACCAGGATTAGACCTGTGCTGTTCTGTCAGGCTCTGGTTTCCCCATTTGGTTCCAAATACTGCTTAGAAGTATTGTGAGAGGGTGAAAGAATTGTTCTTTAGAACTCAAAAAGCCTTTTGGCTGAGCTCACAAGGGAATATTGAGTCTGGTAACAAAACCAGATCAGAGTGATCGATGCACCAAAGGTAAGTTTGGAGTTGCCTGACACATCTTCATGTTTTTATGCCACTTTCTATTGCTGGTTGGGAAATCAATTATTTCTAACATTTTCCCCACCTATAATCACTAAAACCCTTTCCTGGTGTGTTTGACCTTTGCTGCAGAAGCATTAATACCAAAGACCAAGCCCAGATTGTCAGTTCAATATTCAAAAACTGCTCTGTTAGATTAAAAAGAAGTAGAAAACTCTTTCATATAGACTAGAGAAGGCTTTTTCATTTATTTTTTTTTGAAAAAGAACTCGGTAATTAACAATGAAAAGAAAGAGTCTCTTGAAACTTCTTCTTCACTTGGCTTTATGAAAAATTCAAAGCTAATTCGAGCTCTAGTCACGAAGTGTCTCTCTTTTGTCTAAGGGGATTGTACCACTACAAATACATTGGCTAATGAATCAAATAAAGTAGTCCACTTGCAATTTTTTGCACTTTCTACATTGTACTTATCAATTCATGGCTTCACAGTTAATTAAACTCCAGAAGAAAGACTTAATTACTTTTTTTCACATCTTGTTCGATACACTAGAAGCAGTTATTAATAATCTCAAAATTTAAGGAGTGTGGGCAGCAGGTCCGAGGGGGTGATTCTGCCCCTCTGCTCTGCTCTCGTGAGGCCACACCTGGAGCATCACACACAGTTCTGGTGCCCTCAGGGTAAGAAGGTCATGGAACTGCTGGAGCAAGTCCAGAGGAGGCCACGAAGCTGATCAGAGGACTGGAGAATCTCCTCTATGAGGAAGTTGGGGCTGTTCAGCCTGGAGAAGAGAAGGTTGTGTGGAGACCTCAGAGCAACCTGCCAGGAGCTGAAGGGGCTCCAGGGAAGCTGCAGAGGGACTCTGTGTTAGGAGCTGCAGTGACAGGACAAGGGGCAATGGGCACAAATTGAAGGAGAGAAAATGTAGGCTAGATATCAGGCAGAAGTTTTCCCTGTGAGGGTGGTGAGACACTGGCCCAGGTTGCCCAGGGAGGCTGTGGCTGCCCCAGCCCTGGCAGTGTTCACAGCCAGGTTGGCTGAAGCCTTGAGCAACCTGCTCTGGTGGGAGGTGTCCCTGCCCAGGGCAGGGGGTTGGGGCTGGATGATCTCTTATCTCCATTCCAACCCCTTAACATTCTATGAAAAAAATCCATAAGATTTAAAACAAAAAAAGTGACTCCTACAATTTTATGGCTAATTACAGACACTACACAAGGCCTTGGAAAAACATATATAAGCAGCAGGTAGAGGTTTTTCCAGCAGGAAATCACTGAGTTCTGACCACATGAAGGCATGAAGTGAAGTTCTCAGTGCTGTGTTCAGGCTTCTAAAATATCTCTCTGCTTCCCAGGTGCCTTTTACTTTTTGGACATGTCAAATACATCCTTACACATTTCACCTAAGTTTCCATGTTCCTGCAGTGATGTGTTATTTTGTTCACTGCTTTTCTGCACTTACAAAAAAACTTTTTAAAGGAGATTCAAAAGCCACACTACAAATTAGGCTATAATTACACTGCAAACCACATGTTTGAGGAAGCACATCTCTGAATAACCTTTCTACTCTGGAATTGTTTTGAGATGTCTCATTGTTGTAATTGCTCCTCATTAGTGCAGGTGCACAGCTCCTTTTTTTCTTTAAATACTCATTGTAATTTGGTATAATTTGTGCTCTTAGTTTAGGAAGATTTAAATTAAGCATAAAAGAAAGCATGGAAATGATGGAAACTTCATTAATAAGTGAACCACATACTTGGCCTTACTTTAAGGGTACAAATATAATTGGAAGTTTCATGGATAGCAGCTCTCAGAAGTTCAAGTATACTCTCACTGAGCCACTCTCATGTTTCAGGTACCTCAGCTCAAATGGTAGATGAAAACCATAAACAAGAACCAGAACAATTTGAAGTAGAAATACAAATGCTTTAATTATATAGCGAATGAATCCTCAACTGTTTTGTTCCAAACAACCCCAGCAGAAACATGATGTTTCTCCTGCAGAATCAACAATTCATTGTACTGTCTAACACTGTCCTCCTTATTAGAGGCTTTTGTTCTCCTAATGGTGATTGATTGGTCAGGCATTATGGGGTTGTTGTTTTTCCTACTGAAGGCCATCAAGAACATGTCCAAATTTCGTGGCTATCACATTAATCAAAGGGAAACAAAATCCAAGGACAAGAAGCTAAACAGATGTTTTAAGAATGTGAGACAGGGGCTGTAAAATGTACAGAAGGGAAAAAATCAGTCCATTTTGATTTCTAAGGTTAGTTTGTTTAGGGCACAGAAACACATTATTCCTGCAGGAAAAACCCTCTCACCTGTCCCCTGGAAGGATGCAACTAGACTGTATGACAAATCCATATCTCTGCACTGTTTTCTGCTCTGTCCATGTGATTTTTACTGCACCAGCAGCTAAGGAAAGGTCACCAGTGTGTGCCTGTTGCCATGTTTCATGTGTGCTTCAAACACACGCTCAGTGCACAGCAAAGAATGAGAAAAACAAGCCCTAAAAAGGGCCCTTTACACTTGGATTCCTTCAGAAACAGCCCAAGGTGAGACCTTCTGTTTGACCACCACTGCTTTCATCGTGCCATCAAAGACCCAAATTCATTCTGCCAACACACAGAACCAAGGAATTAAGTTCCAAAGGGCAACTGACCCAAAATGGAGACCTTGCTCAGGAATTCTTCATACATCTTCCTCTTCCTCAGCGTGCTGCCCTGTTATTAAGGGAGAGAGAAAAAGGAGGCAGAGCATTACACAAAGTATTTTTGTGATTTCTTCCTACAGCTGCTCTTCTTGGTTTTTTTTAACCTCCCCTTCCAAATCTTCAGCATAGCCAGTGTAAACAGCCTAAGGGAAATGTTTCCCCATAAAATGTCTGGGCAAGTTGTATTGCTGATAAGCAAAGACAGAAGGACTCAAATTCAATCCTGGTGTAATTTTACTGACTTCACTGGTGTTACTGGACACCGTGGATGAATTGTATCCTTTATTACTCATTTTAGAGCCTGAGCTTCATCAATTAGCTGCTTAGCTAATTCAAAATATATCTTGTTGCCAATGAGGCCCTGCTAGAAGGGAATTTATAATCACAAAGTAGGATGAAACTTGAAATATCCCCTTAAATATCCTCTTAAAATATTCTCCTTTTAGGTTACAAACTCTTTCGTGCCAAGAGTGTTTATCTGTAAGCCTGTTTATATTCTGTACAGTGCTGTATCTATTGCTAGTGCTGAGCAATCTATTCATATTAGTATTTTAACAAGATTTAAGCATTTTGGGGCAGCCAATCCATCAATGTATGTGCAGCACAATCATTCTCACTCTATTAAGATCTTGTTGCGTGATAAATTACTAAGACTCCTTCTATTTACATAGTGTTTGATCACCAAGACAAAAAGCTTAAGATGCCATTCCAGCACACACTTTTGAAGGAGATTCATGTATGAATAAATATGATGCAGTTTTACTAGTACAAAATGAAAGAATTAGTCTTTAATGCCTTCTGCAGTGACACAAAAGACTTGAAAAGAAAATCTTCCCAGGTACCAAAGAGGAACTCCAGGGTCTGCCTTGGTACCATGCACTTTGTTCCATACTATCATATGACATCCCATATTGTTTCTGCCTGATTCCCTGTGGATGTTGAAAGCTGCCTGGTGCCTGCTTGTCAGATCTACAAGGCAGGAGCACAGACCAAGGAATATCCATTCACCTTCTTAAGGAAAGGGAAATAAAGGTGCCACAAACAAAGGTGGCAGGGGAGATGGAACCAAATGTCAGTGTCTGCCATAGAAAAAGCCACTTCTCTATTCCTCCTCTCTCACTGGTAATTGCTGGAAGCAGGGGCAGAAAGTGGGGATAGAGAAAGGAAAAGGAGGAGAGACATTTTGCCCTCCACTGTGAAAGCATTCAGAAGTGTTTCAGTTATGAAGATGGGAAAGGCTGGTCTAGAATCAAGGTTGAAAGAGACCTCTAAGATCATCAAGTCCAACCATTAACCTGTCACTCAAGTGCAATGATACAACTATGAATTAAACATTGTCCCCTTTCCCACACACTGTGCAGGTTGGACTTGATGCAATGACCCCCAAAGCAAGGTGAATCCTTTGAATCCATGAACATCAACAAGCTTTGGCTCCCACCTAGGACCACAGCACCAACAGAGCTGCCTGGTGCTCTCCTCTGGGTACAGCTCCCATTTGTGTCCCTATCCTGGGGCAACCCCATTCTGAAACATCACACAGCACTAGCAGGAGCTGTCACTCTTTCAGGTAGCTCTGGATCAGCAGCAGCACCAGCTCCTGAGGTCTCCCCCTCCACACCCCGTTCATGATTTCCAAGTCTGGTGCTGACAGTTCTCCTCAGCAATAGCATCGCTAACCCCTGTCTGACCTCTCTGTCTGACAAACTTGGTTCTCAACCTCGGGGGGCCCTGAGAGCATTTGAAGTGCCAGAAAGAAAAAAAACCTCAAGGACTTCAAACACAGGAGGCTCTGCAAACCAACTCCAGCTCCTGACAGCTCGCCAGGAGACAAAGAATGGAAAACTGGACACTGTGCAGTTGTTGCTTCCCTTCCTGAAACTGAGTGGAAACGAGAGCAGCAAAATTGACAGCTGTGGAAAACCAGATTGGTGGTTTAGTTTGCAGGGCTGGGACACCCAGGGACAGATGTGGAAAATGCTTTTTAAGTGACTTGTGGACACGGACGAATTTTAAGAAGCAATAATCAGTAGCCATAAGTGAAGCCTGACCACAGCTTCGAGTATTTAGAGACATAGACAGGACCCAGGAAGGTGGGAATTGCAGGCATCACACCTGGCCTGGAAAGGAAGAGTCCATGACTTCCTACAGGAAAACAGGTGTGTTATGTCTTGGCTAAACTAAGCCAGGGCAGAGATACAGAATCCACTGTGAAGAGAAGTGTAAAAGGCAAAACTGAAGTGGAAAGAATGAATTAAGTGTGCTGCTAGCAGTTTTTGTATTATGGAGGTATCTAGAGCCTCAGTGGGACTCCACTTAACACATAGCTACACTGACTTTAACATCCCACAAAGATAAGGGAGACCATGAGCCTAGGGAAGAACTAGTGGCTGAGGCTTAGGAGTTCTGTTTCCCAGCACATGCACTGATACCCAAGGTGACCCAGCTGATAGCTCCTGACTCATCCTGCAGGATGGCTCCACTCAACAAACAACAGCTTCTGGAGTGGCATGAGCCACCTGAAAGCAGAGCTTTACCTCAGCTGCACCTTCTGTGGCCAGGCAGGCACAGAAGCTTTCCCTGCCTTTTCAGAGCACACAAGGCTGGATCCCAATCAGCACAACCAGATTCTCTTCCAGACACAAGAAGCTTGGCTCACCCTCATGCTCATTGTTTTCCCTTGAGTGTGTTTTCCTGCTCAAGCTTTCACAAGCAGAGTGAGGGGAAGGATTTTGAGAGATCACTACTCTAATGCAAGCTCAAAACAACCCAGCAGTAGAAATCTTACAACCAACCTCATGTACTTATTTCCATTGGTATTAACCATCTTTTCTCCCGTGAAACAGAGACAGAACACAGAATCATAGAATCATTGAGTGGCGTGGGTTAGAAGGGACCTTAAATATCATCTAGTTCCTTCCCACCTTCCTTGACCAGCACAATATTTCCCTCTCATCCCCTGCCATAGGCATAATGTCACCTCTGACTCCTGTTGCCCTTCCTGCACTTGTTTTATTTGGTCTAGTTGCTTTACCCAAATTGCTGAGGCCACAGGTAGGAACACCATCACAACCTCCTCTCCAACCCGTCAGGTCCTTTCTGCAGAAGTGCCAACCACCACACTCACCCCTGAAGAAGAACCAGAAGGGTTGGAGAGGTGGTTGTTATGGTGTCCCCACATGCTGAGCCCGTTCTCATGCAATATTTTCATGGATCTCTTCTAGAAGCAGCAACAAATCAGACAGTAACAATATCTACAGACTATGAGATGCTGCTATGAAAGCTTGCCCAGGGCAGGATAATTATAAGAAAGGACCTGGAGACATTAGAAATGGGAGAGAAAATAATAAAATGAGCTTCCATTTGGAGAACACAGCTAAGGAAAAAAAATCTAAAAAAGAGATATTTGACAAACAAAAGAAAACTTGAAAGCTGTAAAGCTGAAAGAGATTTACAGACAGTAGGTGAGACCTGGTTTGCAACATCAGACTGCAACAAGAACCCAGCCAAGGCTATTTTGGTCTGTACATGCAAAGATATCATCCAGGAATGAAGTTCAGAGGCTCCATCTCCGTGGCTCAGATGTGACGGCGCCTGGTGTGCTACATTCTGTCTCAGTACCTCTTCTCCAGAAATGTGCTCCCAAATGCAACAGAGCTTGAAGAAATGCTAAAACACTTGGGGAGAGCTGATAAGGAAGGAGAAAAACAAATTCAGCCTGTATTTCTTGGCTCAGCACTGGGCTCATAGGTATGCCATCCTCATAGCTAGCATGCATTGTGGCAAGGGTTTTAAGTAGACAGTGATAATCACCTAGATATATGACAGCAAGAGAAGGCAACTCAGTACAGCAGAACTTGACATAACTCAAAGTAATAGGAGAAAATTAAGAAAATCTAATTTAAGATCAATATCAAAAACGTTTTCCCAGTGGAGAAATTATTCTCTTGCAGAAAAGTTTCCCAAGGGAAGAAGGAGAAATCTTACTGCTCAAGCCAGATAAAAACAGTAGTAAATGTACCTGAATAATTTTGCACTGGCAGGGCTCTTGATGGCATGTTTTAAAAAGTCTTTATTAATTCTGCTTTTTTCTAACCTATTAATATCTTATTTCAATAGTCTCTGCTTCTCCCTCTCCCCCTTTCCTTTGTTCACCTTCTCCCTGGTTCTGAGCTGTCATGCACAAACTCATCTCCTTAAAGACAGTGGCTCCCATTAACTACGAAGATGTGTTAATATTCTAAGCAGTGCTCCTCCCTGAGACAAGCCCAAGGAGAAACAAGATCACTTGCCTTTGTCAAATCCATCCAGAAAAGGGCTCAAAGCCAGTTTTAGCACCACTTAAAAGTGTAGCAAGCCTTAGGCTCAGCCTAAGCAATACACAGGCTGGGAGAAATTAATGCCCCAGAGGTTGTAACAGGTCATGGAACAGTCATAAAATGAGACAGGGGAGATTCAGATTAGATGTTAGGAGAAATGTTTTCCCTGTAAGGTTGTTCAGGCACTGGAATATGGAATTGCCCAGGGAGGTGGTGGAGTCACCATCCCTGGAAGTGTTTAAGAGGTGTCTGGATCTGGGGCTGGAGGAAATGGTTTAGGATTTAGGGGTTCCAGCAGTGACATGTTAATGGTTGGACTCGATGATCTTAGCGGTCTCTTACAGCCTTGACAATTCTATGATGCTGTGATTCTACTCTAGGTTTTGTTGAGTTTCATCTGTTTCATCTCTTTTCCAACTACCCCTTCTTCACCTTCCCTGTTTTCATCCATTTTTTCTTCCCATTCCTCCAGTCCAATCTTTCTTTGTCCCTCCAGCATGCTTTGTATCTCCTTTCTTGCTTCATTTCTTCAGGTGGAGTTGATCCTAGAAGTGTTTAGGAGCTGTCTGGATCTGACACTGGAGGATATGGATTAGGCATTACAGCAGTGACAGGTTAATGGTTGGACTTGATGATCTTAGAAGTCTCTTCCAACCTTGATGATTCCATGATCAGGTCCTTCCTTGAAGTCTCAGCCTTCCATAAGAAGCCAAATAAATGTCTACCAAAAGTCAAAGCATGACTCAAGCTTCAAATGAAGAGTCATCCTGGCAGGAGGTGCCAGAATGGCCTTTTGGACTGCTGCAGCTCCATTTAATCCCTGCAGAACCTGATACTGAACGATGCTTTGGGTGTATATTCTTACAGGACCATGAAAGAAAGAGTCCCTGTGCACACTGGCCATGAACAGACAATCCCAGTGCTTTATTACACAGATGTCAGAGGCATTGCAGCCTTTGGCTTTATACTTTGGCCACCACACAAGCTACATTTTATGGCAACACAGAGTCCTTCTGACTTTATTAAATCTGAGTAGAAAAAAACACTTGTTAAAGAACTTGTTCTCAGGTTCAAAGCTGTGAAAAGACAGTGGAAGAAACCCAAAATAGCAGAAATAAAGTGAAGCATAACAACAGGAACTGACTAACCTTGATTTGTCGTGACTTACATCCCAGTATTACAACTCACTTTGTGTGAGCAAAGTTTGCCAAATGGGCAAAATGTACTGAATCCCACACAACTCCAGTCCCAGAGCCAGGTATCTTGGACCATGGGAACTGGAGGATAGTTAAATTATCCTGAATCGAGTCTTCTTAAAAAAGAAATTACACGAAATTAAAACTTCAGATTTTCTCAGTCTGGGAATGGAATTGTCTAGGGGATCAATCTGATGTTGGGATACAGACATTTGCTTCTCTGGTATTTGTGGTATTTGCTATATTTAGAATACAAATATTGTACTACCCTGGGATGTTCCCCATTCTGTGATGCTCTCGAATCCAAATTGCAGAGAAGAGAGCAGTAACATTTCAGCAATTCAATTACATGAGAATCCTATGGCAAAAAAAAATTCCTTTGCATCTCTCCCAGAAGACTGTAGGCAAATAAATGCTGAATATACACACAAGTGTGTGTGTCTGTGCCTGTGTGTGCACACACAGAGAACAGAGACATACAAAAATTTGCAGCTGAGTGAAAAGTATGTAAGTCAGCACAGATGATTGTATGAAATAAGTGGAACACACAGATGGACAGATAATTTGTGAGTCTACTGCAGGGGGAACATGTTGAAGTGGTTTTTGTAACCTATCTAATACAATGAATTTCATGGTATAATAATTTGTCAAGGACTGCAGGGAAAGCCAAGCAATTTCACTCCAAATCCTGACAGAAAGACCTATCCCAACATTTACAGTCATCACAGCTGCTAAAACAAACTTGAATGTGACCTTCAAGGCTACCTAAGCTGAGACAATGAAATATAAAGAAATATATCTGCTTCAACAAACTTCCTTTGGGACAGGCTAAATAATAA